GTAACCCCAATACTAACCCTCCCTGTAACCCCAATACTAACCCTCCCTGTAACCCCAATACTAACCCTCCCTGTAACCCCAATACTAACCCTCCCTGTAATCCCAATACTAACCCTCCCTGTAACCCCAACACTAACCCTCCCTGTAACCCCAACACTAACCCTCCCTGTAACCCCAACACACTAAACATACCCTCCCTGTAACCCCAACACTAACCCTCCCTGTAACCCCAACACTAACCCTCCCTGTAACCCCAACATTAACCCTCCCTGTAACCCCAATACTAACCCTCCCTGTAACCCCAATACTAACCCTCCCTGTAACCCCAATACTAACCCTCCCTGTAACCCCAATACTAACCCTCCCTGTAATCCCAATACTAACCCTCCCTGTAACCCCAACACTAACCCTCCCTGTAACCCCAACACTAACCCTCCCTGTAACCCCAACACTAACCCTCCCTGTAACCCCAACATTAACCCTCCCTGTAATCCCAACACTAACCCTCCCTGTAACCCCAACATTAACCCTCCCTGTAATGCCAACACTAACCCCTACATTAATCCTTCCTGTACCATTCATACTGACCCTATCACTAACCCTCCCGTTACTATCACTATCCGTCCCTGTATCCCTCAACCTAACCTTTCTTGTAATTCTAACCCTCCCTGTAATCCTAACACTAATCTTCCTGTAATCCTAACACTAATCTTCCCTGTAACCCAAACACCTAACCCTCACACTAGTCCTCCCAAATGTAATCACTCATGTTTGCTGAGAGTCTCTGAAAACAGTCCTTTCTGCTCTGAAACATATTAAAGGCAATTCACTGTGCCAGAATCGACTACCAAGTGAATATGTTAAAAATAAAATGAATACATTCTACAGTCAAAATCAAAAAAGGGGTCATCTCTGCACTATTTTCCAATCGGTTAAAATGCTTTAAGTGTTATTTTTCATGGACAGTTGCATAGAATTCACCATTTAAATTTGGTTTGGTGAAAACATACAATTATGAAAACTGTTTAAAAGTTGTGATCTCAAACATGTTTTTTTTTTTTTTTTTTGTTTGTTTTCTTTTTTTTTTTTTTAAAGTCGCCCTTCCCCTTCCCTAACAATCTATAAGATATCACACCAATAAAGATGGTGAACTGAGGACAAACCTCTTCACATTTCTGTATATTCCCATTCCCAGGGGGAGCTTTAAAAGAGAAACTGTACTGTGTTTTCAGTATGTCTTCTGAGCAGTTACCCTAATAGTATTTTTCATGTGATTTTCACACTTTATGTTCCATATTTTGATTATTGTATGCCCCTCTAGTAGTCATCTGTTCATCAGGGGATGGGGACTTGTGTTCTTAGAGAGACACCATTGCCTTTTATTGTAGATGAAGATATTCTCCTTATAGCCATTTTTCCAGCAAGATATACTCACCAATCACGACTTCGGTCTCCAAACCCCCCCCACCAGCATGACAGTGGGCCTAGTTCACTGTCACATAGACCAACAGAACGGGTGCTCTGATGGAGTGGGAAGGAAGCAAAGGATGGGTGAATATATCTTGCAGGAGGAATGGTGGGTTATTAGGAGACCATGAGCTGCAGGACAAAGAATCAATGTAGGTTTGGTGGGACAAACCACTGAGAACAATAGGGGACACAGGAGATCAACACTCCCCCCCCCAAGTGTCAGTTTCAAGGAAAACTTTAGCGGGCAATCTCCTGTCACTGGAATGATGTTCAGCAGAGCAGACATGGGAGAGCCTATTATCTTCTTTTAGTGGGAACGTTTATGTTAGCAATAGGGTCATATTATTGCAACATAGGTCAATGCACATAAGTGTAAATGAGCCCTAAACCCTAAAAGTTCCATGCTATTTATTTAGCTTGTAATTCTGGGAAAAGGAAGGAAAAAAAATTAAAAAATTAAAAAAAAACAAAACCAAAAAAAAAAAAAAAAAAACAACAACACACACATATGACCTGTCCTTGGTTTCTGCAGCATCACTTTTATCAACTGGCCCATATACTTTCTATATAGAGTATATTTCATTTTAAAAACAGCCGACTTGAATGTCAGGCAAGTGTTTACAAAGGCCATCAAATCTCCTGATGTCTAATTTTTCAAATTCATCTGTCATTAACCAGAACTGATAACTTTACTGAAAAACCAGCTGAAAGAATAAATTAGGCTTGGGTGGGAGTGGGTGCCTTGCAAGCGAATGAGCAGATGGGGAAATACCTAGATATACGAACAGGACGTGGAGGGGGATGGGGGGTCTCAAGGTGGGTGTCACCACTGTGATGAAGCTCAGCATTAGCTGAAAGACCAGTCAGGTGGTGGGGAAGTGGCACAAAATCTGCAGCACAGCAGGCTGTGACAACTGGCACCGTTCTCCCTATGCCACACATGTCCTGCCTGGCAGGTAAACAGGTCCTACGCGTATTGTAAACTGTATACTCAGCAGGCTCGCTGGAGATGCTGCGCAACAGTTGCCATCAAGAAAGAAAATATTGATACAAATCAAAACTCCATTATCCTGTTGCATACGGTTTCAGACACAGGGAGAGCTATAATTTGGTTTGTGAGTAATTGTGGTTAAGGTTACCATCAACGTGTAAAACCTCAGATCAGAGTTTTGCAATATATTCTGGCATTGTGTAATAAGTGTCAAGGTATCTTCTAGCTGTACATATACAAGCTGTGTATCAAGAGCACAGATATGATAAATGTGGAAATGTACTGGACCAGGCAAAGTGCTTCGTATATTACACTGAAGAGTGTTAATAAGGACAACACAGGCTTTTTAGCAGCATATGAATGATCACCAACAGCTGTCTTCTGTACAGCGGCGTCATATGACCTCCCACTCCTCTTCAAAGTCGGAATTGACGTGCAGATGGTCGTTCTTTGGAATGCTGAGATGGTGGCTGTAGGTCCTTGTGAGACGCTGCAGGAGTGATCCCGTGGAGCCCACACCCCAAAGTTCGTCCTGTGGAGTCACTGCGGAGAAGCCAGGATTGGTCAGAATGGCAGGAAGAGAGCCCGGCTCACACAACGTTCTGCAATGCTTTGTTTTAAATCCAATTATGATGAATAACAGTGAGCAAAAATAAAACAATATACCATCATCCTAAAAATAATCTTGCCCCAGCTTCATTCAAGCTGATTTGTTAAAGAGGAACTTCACTTGCTCCCTTCATTTTTTAATCCCCACTTATTTGTTTTCCAGGATTGTCCTCAGTTCAGATGCTCACCTGCTCAGTGGATCCAGCGATGCCTTGCTGTATTCTGCTGATCAGCTACAGTAGCCTGGGTCCCACACCGCCATTTTGTACTCACTCACTGTAAGTTGGCTGCCTTTTCTAGGTTCAGGCAGCTGGTCTCTGATGATACACACAACTATTCCCACCGGCCACGGTCAGTCCCTACTCCTGCAGCCTCCTGGGATGTATGATGTGGAATCCCAGGAGGCTGAGGTAGCAAGGACAAAGCAAGCCCAGGAATAAACTTTTATCAAAAGTTTTCATCAAAACAAAGAAATGTACCGATTAATACTGCAGAATGATGCAGGCAGACACAGGTAATCTGGGGAGGCGGGGGCGGGATGATGCGGAGGTCTGCTTTAAATACGCAATTGAAAGAATTTTGTTATATCGGTTTGATAACAAAAAAAAAAAAAAAAAATGTTGATCCTGTCAGAATATCAGAGCTGCATCTTTAGGTATACTTCCAGTTTTATTTTTAAAGAGTCTAATTAGCCCTCCTAGTTCTCATCTTGGAGCATACAGTGTCTATATTGTGGAGAGTAGGATGGAGGAGGGATTTAGTGGATTAACAAAATATAACTGGGCAGGACTGACACCACTCCGACCACAAAAAATGCTGTGTTGTCAGCCCACAACAGGGCATAGTTGCTAAGAGGATTTCTGGAAGATCAACAGGTATTTTTCTACAATTTCAAATAACGGTTTCTATTCACAATCTTGGCCTTTTGTGTATAGCTAGGGAACTCCTTAAATTTAAATGCCTAGAGAACCCCATGCGGCACTGGTTATGGAATTGTCAACATCCAACTCAAAAGTCAGAGCTCTGAAACATGGGACTGTAGGCGAGGGATGGCAAGGAGCCTGAAGTGGGTGTTTTCGGGAACACCTGCCTTGCAATACAAAAAGGGGTCCTCAGATCACCTGACTACTCAAAAGGGGAATGGGGTGTACCAGTGCATTACCATCACTGCCTGGAGGAAACAATGATGTAATGAGCAGGTAGGCTGTGCTCCTTCTGTGCGTCTAATGGCTTTATTTTCATTTGTAAAGTTTACCTTTTAAATTATATTCACAGAAATAAAATTAAACAACTATACAGTCTATAGTGAAACTGGGTAAGCATCCTACTTGGATGGTGAATTGGATTTTGTCATTTTAAAAGCTGAATTGTTCTCTGCAAATAAAAAAAAAATAGATATATATTATCTCTCTTCACCTGTCAACCCATCTACATAACCAAAGTTTGCAGTATTAAACAGAGAAATCTTTGGTATCCAACACTTCTGGGAGTGTCAGATGTTGGCAGCTGGTGACCCCCTCCAAAACGTATACCATACACACAATGGTATCATCTGGCAGCCCCCATGTTACCACAACACTGATGTAGGGGGCCAGTAGAAGAAACCAAAGAGTAAGTGGGGGGGACCAGACATCTGACACTTCCAGCCAAAAAGATTCAGAAGGTCCATCCTTAACACAGAAATGTCCCGTGGTGCAGGTAGTGTGTCAATTATTATTTTTTCTACAGCGAGCAATTCTTTATTGATTTAATGACCTTTTTACAGGGACTCATATAGAAAAAAAAAAAATTTGTAAATATTTTGGTCTTCAGACCCTTCCTTACCTGTTAACCATGACATATTTCCTGGGATTTTCTTCCAGTAGTCTCCCGCTGCGTTCTTTTCAGTTATCCCGTACCGTCTGGCAATGTCACCATTGGGACAAAGTGCCCAGACTGTCCTCACACTCACAACAAGCTGACACGCCTGCAAACCTACAGGTAGAGCAATTAAAAAGGTAAAAACTATGAGAAAAGAAAAAAAAAAAAGAAGTCACATGATCATTTAATGGGCTCCTTCATGCAACCTGTGCTAGTAGGGTGAAAGTGCCCAGAAACACAGAATGTTTGACCTAAAATAGAATCCTCCTCCATGCACAAATTAGAAAAGTTTGCTCAATGCGAATGGTCATGTTTGCAAAAAGCTTTTGTGAGAAAAATCCCGCAGCGGCTGGGTTTGGAATGTTGATTCTAATGTTTGTTGGCAGCTTAAAAAAATAAAAAAAAAAATAGACACCAAAAAAAAACCCCACTAAGCATTTAGTGTTATTAGTGATGTTAAATGCTTCAGTGAAATCACACACAGTAATCGGCTTATGTGAAGTTTTTTTTATATAACAGTTTTCTTCCTAACAGCCTGATATGCTGCTCATGCCAACCACTGATTCATAAGCTGGCCATACACTACTAGATTTTCAGACAAAAACTTACAAAACTTCTTAAGAGTATTCGATGACTTTTTGGAGGTCGTTTGAAAGTACTTCAACATTTTTTTGCTTTAAAACAAAGGAGTTTGAAATCCCTAAGGAAATCCACATTCACTTTTAGAAAGTTGTTCTTCCACCTGACCGCCTATCCAAACTGTACCCTGCTTCCTCCTTGCTCTGTTTTAGGGGTTATAGGCAAGTGGGAACAATGTTCCATGGGTGGTGGACCTGTCCTAAGGTCCGGAGGCACTGGATAGGAGTTCATGCCCTGATCTTCTCAGTGATCAATGTTGTAAAAAAAATCCTAGAGTTGTGTTTCTTAATGAACTTGTAGCTTTTGTCCCTAGATCTACTCAGACTCTCATATCTCTCATATACTTTATGCTCCTGGTGGCTAAAACTTCAATTGTGAACGTCTGGAAAAGTCCAGTGGTGGACTTAGCATTGATGAAATTCAAACCATCGTGGATCATAGTCAACGAGAAGATGGTTAGCATCTTACGTGATACCACCAGTAGGTTTGAGCACATTTGGACCCCATGGATTAATTATTTACAAACTATTTTAATATTACCTTCCTCCTTACTACTTCTTTCTCTCCTTTCCTTTTTTACCTTCCTCTTTCTCCCCCCCCCCCCCCCCCCCATTGCCTTTTGATGGAGTATGTCATTTTGTGCCTTCAGCAGAGCAGTGTAGCACCTGGTTAATTTTGTGCCTGTTTACTGATGCTACCTGGTGTGAATTTTAGTTTAGTTTTTTTTTTTTTCTCATGCCAAATATTTGTCTGTTCATTTTCAATAAACACAATGAAATAGAAAATTCTTTCCAGAAAAGTTTTCCATTCTGCTCCTTCAAATCTTGTCACTGTGGTCGAAAAACTCTGATTTGACCCCACTAACAATGAAAAAATTGAATGTTCTTAAAGCTAAAATTTTTGAACTAAAAAAATGCTACTAGTGTATGGTCAGCTTTATAGTCTTTGTAAATTGGCCCTTTCGATCTTTACCTGCGCAAATTACCAAAATGGCAGTTTCCAATCTGATCTAAAGTCACCTTTTTCCTATCCTTGAAGTAGTATTTACATGAAATGTCTGAAGTGACAAGATAGCTGCCAACAACTTGTGGGTGCCAAACAGGGCCACCAATAGGAAGTAGCTCCTACAGTCCAGTAAGGGGCCAGGACCCAATCAGTTCAACAAGGGGGCCCAGGCAGCTGTATATTGCAGGCAGTTTCAAAAGCTGCAGATCACAGCTTAGCCCCCCCTGCAATGCATCTGGCTTTTCCTCCACTTCCTCTCACCCACTGTCAGCTGCTGCATGGGAAACCACAGAGGGGTTATTTTCAGGGATAGTCCCCCCTCACCTGGGATCAGTTTCAGGAATTGACCTCTGGGGATAGGTTTCAGGGATTGTTTCAGTCATCGACTGCACAGGGAGCCTCTGTACAGAGTGCCTTCCTGCTCATTCATTCTTCAGTGCAGCAGAAGCTACAGAGAAAGGATTGGGGATAGGTGTCCTCAATCTGTCTCAAAAGTATATTAGAAGTCTGTTTAGACCCCTGATATTTCGCCAAAGCCATCGCCCTCCTCATCCCCACGCAAAGCTGTTAAAGTTTAAAAAATAAAAAAATATTAAAACCAGTAACAAATAACCTATTTAAGGGCTCATTCACAGAGGAACTCTAGCAATGAGTCCAGTTACTTGACAAGCTATATATCATTGAAAACTCTACAGCATTGTCTATCAGAAGCACTGAACCCCAGATGGTTAGGACATACACATTTGAGCATGCCTTGACATCCATACCTGGTATTCCCCAGCCAAAATGACTGATTTTGTAAAATAGATTTTATTTTGTGGGTCTCACCCGGTACGTGCTCCCAGTCTATCCCAACAGGCATTTCGTCTGTAATTCCCATCCGGACGTAAACGTTACACTTGTTGTCGAGCGTCCACAGCATGTGGTCATTGGGACTGGAGAAGACACTAATCAAGTTGATACCTACAGGCTGTAAAAGAAGTTCCGTGAGTATGTGTTGTCCATTTCTGTGGTGTATAAACATATGCAGATCCAATAGCTGCAACAGTACAGAGATCACAGACCTTCCCACTCGAGTCATCACTTACTGCCCCAGGAGGGCTTACAGTCCAATGTCGTGATGTGCAATGTCGCACGCACACTGGCACAAGTGTGAAAGGGGACTAAAGGCTTGTTTTAACGTGCTTTTACAGCTTGTTCAGACTAAATAAAAATACTTGAATGTGCATGATCTTAGCACAGGTTCACTTTAAGGTTCATTAAATCCAGCAAATGAAATCAGAATAACTCGTAGAATTATGTGACAAAACTTTGCACTTCACTAGCTGTTAGTCGCTATGGCAACAGTCAACTGACTTCTAAACCGTGATGATGTGTCAAGCCAAGGAATGTTGCTAGAGAAATGCTCTGGCACTTACATTAGAGATTTTATATAATGCTTTACTCAGTAATAAACTGGGTTTAGAATATATTTTCAGTTAATAAAACGGGGTTAATGTCCCATTCCAACTCTTCATGCTGATTGTTAACACAATGGCCATTGTGGACATTATTATTATTATAATGCAGTGTTTATATAGCGCCAAAAGGTTTGCTCAGCGCTGTACATTATAGTGAGGGACAGAACATGAGACACAATACAGTAACAATACACTACACGAGGGGTTCGAGGGCCCTGCTCTTTCGAGCTTACAATCTAGGAGGGAGGGGGTAGAGGTACAGGAGGAAGTGGCTGTGGGGGATGGAGTGGTAGGAGGAGTGGGAGTGGAGAAACGGCTGTTAGGTGAGGGTGGGGTAGGCTTCCCTGAAGAGATGGGTTTTCAGGGTGCGCCTAAAAGGTGAGGAGGGTAGGTGACAGTCTGATGGATTGGGGTAGGGAGTTCCAGAGGATGGGGGAAGTCCTGGAGAAGTCCTGCAGTCGGGCATGGGAGGAGGAGACCAGGGAGCTAGAGAGTAGGAGGTCTTGTGAGGAACGAAGGGCATGGGGAGGGTGGTATTTGGGTATCAGGTCAGTGAGGTAGTTTGGGGCAGTGTTCTGAATGGCTTTGTATGTCAGAGTTAGTCATTTGAATTTGATGCGTTGGGCAATCGGGAGCCAGTGAAGGGATTGGCAGAGGGGGGTGGCAGAAGTGGAGCGGTTGGTGAGGTGGAGGAGTTTAGCCGCTGAGTTCAGGATAGTCTGGAGCGGGGATAGCATGTGTTTGGGTAGGCCAGTGAGACATGAACAGAGTAAATCCTCAACACACGAAGGAGGTGGGGTGGGTGGTGGAGAAGTCGCTCGTCCACTAGTTACTCTTTGCAAGGTCTTAAAACTTAAAAACAGAGCTTTACTCACCTCCCCTCCTGCGATGTGATGTATGCAAGCTCCCTCGCAGGGGCCAACATTTAAACCCAATCTTCATTTGAGGATGGGGTGGGTAGAACAAAGTAAATCCTCTATGCTAGGAGGAGTCACTTGTCCACTAGTTATTTTTGGCAAGGTCTTAGACCTTAATCACTTTCCGCAGGCTGTATGCCTATATGTGACCTCTCGGCGGGTGGGCTTTAACACAGAGCAACTGCATATATGTGTCCCTAGGTAAAAAAAACTCTACTGTGCTGGGAGTGCACAGGGAGCTTGCTCTCAGCACAATAATCAGTGTGGTACCAGCAAGCTCCTGATGCATACTTGCGATCAACAGCTTTCAGATCATGTGATTGCGTACAGCGGTCACATGATTGTAATGCCCACCACCGCTTCCAGGAATTTAAATCTTGTTAAAGGGTAGGGAGGCAGCATCGGGAAGGGGTTAATGTGGAGCTATGCTCACCTTCCCTTTAGCGATAAAAAGCCAGCTTGATTGGCCTTTTTTGCTTGTTCCTTAAAGTTGCACTTTACCCTTTTGTGACTGGAGGTCAATGAAGTATAGTTTTAAAATTTAGTAGTGTCAAAATTAGTAGTGTCAATTACAGCATGACATATGTATTCCTAAGTCATTTTTATATATTTTCAAAGGACATAAAAAAAAAACAAAACTTTTATTCGTTACACTGTTTTAATAAAAACCCTTTTTTAGTTTTATTCTAGACTGACAAATACAATGGCAATTTTATTATATACTGTAATTGTATGCAACCTTTACAGTATTAAAATGGAGCACACAGCTATAATTTTTTAGGGAACAGAAGCTCTATTCTGCATGTGAACATTAAGACACAGCTGATCACATACTCTTATCTTTTATACAACGCTATTGGTTTTTGTTTAAAACGTGCAATAAACAAGCATATTCCCTACAATGCTCATATCCTCAAATAAAAATTAAACATGATTCAATGAAGTGTCCTTCGTGCTTCAATAAAGTCTCTCTGTGCATATAAAGTGTCCACGTGCTTTCAGTTATTCACAGTATGATGCACAATGCCTTCAAACTTATTAAAGTGTCTGTGCTAAAAAAAGTGCTCCATTTCCAACAATCGGTGCCATAGTGTTCCCAAAGTCCTCCACCATAAACACAGAATACTCAGCAGATTTATAGGACTACCTATCACAGGTAAGTCATACGGCGCTTAGTATCATGGGTGACCACCATCAGCCTTCTTCTTGGGCCATCTGCATTCTTTACTTTTAAACAAATAGGGAGAGATGGAGGGAGACTACCGTAGTCTCCATGGGGGGAGATGGAGGGAGACTACCGTAGTCTCCATGGGGGGAGATGGAGGGAGACTACCGTAGTCTCCATGGGGAGAGATGGAGGGAGACTACCGTAGTCTCCATGGGGAGAGATGGAGGGAGACTACCGTAGTCTCCATGGGGAGAGATGGAGGGAGACTACCGTAGTCTCCATGGGGAGAGATGGAGGGAGACTACCGTAGTCTCCATGGGGAGAGATGGAGGGAGACTACCGTAGTCTCCATGGGGAGAGATGGAGGGAGACTACCGTAGTCTCCATGGGGAGAGATGGAGGGAGACTACCGTAGTCTCCATGGGGAGAGATGGAGGGAGACTACCGTAGTCTCCATGGGGAGAGATGGAGGGAGACTACCGTAGTCTCCATGGGGAGAGATGGAGGGAGACTACCGTAGTCTCCATGGGGAGAGATGGAGGGAGACTACCGTAGTCTCCATGGGGAGAGATGGAGGGAGACTACCGTAGTCTCCATGGGGAGAGATGGAGGGAGACTACCATAGTCTCCATGGGGAGAGATGGAGGGAGACTACCATAGTCTCCATGGGGAGAGATGGAGGGAGACTACCATAGTCTCCATAATCTACCATAGTCTCATATGACTGTATGACTCACCTGTGATAGGCAATCCTATAAATCTGCTGAGTGTTCTGTGTTTATGGTGGAGGATTTCGGGAACACTATGGCACCGATTGTTGGAAATTGGGCACTTTTTTGAGCATGAACAATTTAATAAGTTTGAAGGCATTGGGCATTAGGATGAAGCTTAATACAAAACTAAACCCTCCTATCTTTTACAGCCAAGGAAGCTAAGCAAACAATATACACCTTTAAATTGACTTGTGTACCATCAGCATGTTGAAAATTTTTTTCCCTCGATCATGCTGATGAGTGTATTCTGACAGGAGGGGAATTCTCCCTGCTGTTGGAATACAAAAAAACAAAAACAAAAAAAAACGAAAGAAATGAGAAATGAAAGAAAATGACTCGTTTATTGCCAGCCTTACAGCTTTCTGCAAATGTCTGCAGGAAGATATGAAGGCAACCCCCTAGACAGATTATTGAACCCCCTGAGGTTTACTACAGTGGCAGTTTAACCGTTGACAACAGACATCACCTCTACCTACATCTACATCACACCTAAAAAGGGAAGCAAGCAGTCCAGCGTTTCATTGCAATGCTAACTGCTCATGTGAAAATTTTACAGGCAGGACCTCCCAAGCAGCACTAAGTCAACTGATCCATTGAAATGGCCTGTTTAGTATTTACAGAACAGAAGCAGGCAGAGATCCACAAGGATTTCTAAAAATCATTGCAAAAGCACATTAGGTAATTTAGAGGAGTTTCCATTTTTTTTTTTTTTCCCCTGAACAAAAAAAGGGTCTTTTTAAAATTCCTCAGTTGCCCGAATGCCATCTGTAATGCTGCAAGAAGCAACAAAAACACTAGCCTGGCCTGCCTTGCTAACAGAACAGCTTACCAATCTCCTCGCAGCAGCTGTTTACTAAAGCTTTGCATGTCTGGAGGGGAAGCGCAGGCTTGTGTATGAATGTGGACATAATGAGCTGGAGGTACATGCAGTATTTGCATATTAACTAGCCGACTGTCTTCTAGAAGGTCTGAAATACAGTTGTGGCCAAAATTATTCAACCCCCAATGCTGTAAAGGGGTTTAGGGACTATAGTGTACATTTGGAATTGTATTCAGAATCAAATCCTACAAGGACGTTGTAACTACCCAAATGCAACTAAAATGACATCAATTGTTTATGTAATACAGTAGTAAATGGTTCTTATGTGGTTTCTTCATTGCCACAATTATTCAACCCCTTAAAGACTACCACTCTGAAGAACAGAGGTTCATACAGGTGCTTTCCATCAGGTATTGAAAACACCTGTGGATGTCACCGAGCAGCAATCAAGCATAATAAGCACCAATTAGGCAGCTTTAAAATGACTGTGATACTCAGCTCCTTCTAGACATTTACTGGTGTGGTTACAAACATGGTGAAGGCAAGAGAATGGTCCAGGAAGACAAGAGAAGAGGTGATTTCTCTTCACAGGAAGGGCAATGGCTATAAGAAGATTGCAAAGATGTTAAACATACCAAGAGACACCTTAGGAAGCATCATTCGCAAATTCAAGGCAAAGGGCACTGTTGAAACGCTACCTGGTCGTGGCAGAAAGAAGATGCTGACTTCGACTGCTGTGCGCTACCTGAAGCGTAGAGTGGAGAGAAGTCCCCGTGTGACTGCTGAGGAACTGAGAAAAGATTTGTCAGATGTGGGTACAGAAGTTTCAGCC